GCCACCCTAACCTTCAGCAACCACCTCCTTGATTAGTCAGCTGCCATCAACATTAAGTCAAGACTCTTCACCAGCAAAAAGAGTATGACTCACTGAAAGCTCAGATGATGATTACCATTTTTTAGCAATATTGTCCTTTTTTAGACATAATGCTATTGGACACTTAATAGGCTACAGTATAGTGTAAACATAACTTTTATGTGTACTGGGAAACAAAAAAAAATTCATGTGATTCTCTTTATTGTAATATTTGCTTTATTGCCATGGTCTGGAACTGAACCTGCAATATCTCCAAGGTATGCCTGTATTGTGTATATTATTCTCTTGATTCTGCTTTCAAAATTTCTCTGAGTTTTTTATATTTGTTAATTATTCTGGAGCAATAATATTCCATTGCATTAATATACCGGAGTTTGTTCAACCATTCCCCTATCAACATACACATTTTTTCTTCTTTTTTTCCTTTTTTTTTTTTTTACTACCACTAACGGTGCTGTTTGGAAATATTTTGGTATAAATGGATCATAAAAAAGGGAAAAGGTCCTACATGTACCAAAATATGTGTAGCAACTCTTTTTGTCGTGGCAAAGAAATGGAGATTGAGGGAATGCCCATCAATTGGGGAATGGCTGAACAAGTTGTGGCATATGAATGTAATAGAATACTATTGTGCTTTATTGCACAGAAACGATGAACAGGGAGATTTCAGAAAAATCTGGAAAGACTTATATGAACTAATGCTGAGTGAAGTGAGCAGAACCAAGAGAGCATTGTACACAGTAATAGCAACATTATGTGATGATCAAATATGATAGACTTAGCTCTTCTAGACACTGCAATGATCCTAGACAAATCCCTAAGACTCATGATGGAGAATGCCATCCACATTCAGAGAAAGAACTCTCGAGTCTGAATGCAGACCAAAGCATACTATTTTCACTTTTTTCCCTTTGTGGCTTTCCCCTTTTGTTCTGTTTCTTCTTTCACAACATGACTAACGTGGAAATATATTTAGCATGATTGCACATGTATAACCTATGTCAGATAGCTTGCAGTCTTGGGAAGAGGGGAGGGAAGGGAGGGAGAAAAATTTGGAACTCAAATCTTATAAAAATGAATGCTGAAAACAATCTTTACATGTAATTGGGAAAAATAAAATTCTATTTAAAAAAGAAATTTAAAAAATATTTTAATATATGGGACCTTTCTATCATCTCTCTTGGTAACATCTGGAGTACTGGTATCCTACCTCATTTAATAATCATTAAGAATCAAAAGATTCACAAGTGTTATTTTCCCCATTTTATGGATGATGGAACTGAGGATTAGTGACTTGTCCAAGGTTATACAGTGGCAGAATCAGGACTTAATTCTTCTGACAATAAATCCTGTGGCCTTTCTGCCTACATTATGTCGCCTACTATACTCCTGCCTGACCCTTGGAGCCTATTACCTTGCAAATAAAGTAAAGGTAAATATGCATCTGTATGTAGTTCTCATAAAGTCCAGTCAAAGTCTTCCTCTTTGTGGAGATCTAGAACCAAGAAGGACCTTAGACATCATTTCATCCAATCTCTCATTTTACAGATAAGAATACAGAGGCCAGAGAGGGGCAAATTGAAGTGATTTGTCCAAGATCATTCAGGGAGTGAGCAGTAGAGCTGGAATTTGAATTGAAATAATCTGACTTGATTAGTAGTGCTCATTCCATTACACCTTATGACCTTTTGACTTAACTATCATTTTTTTCTGAGTGATCCTCTTATTTGTCTCTTCCTTGCTTTTTGCTCCAAGAAGTCTTCCCTGACACCTCAGGAATTATAGTTATTTTTCCCTCTTCTTAATATAGAATTTTGTATTTTTATCTTTTAAGTGCACTTTCACCTTATACCTTGTTATTTGTTTAAATATCTCTTCTTACTAGACTGTAAGCTTTGTGAGGGTAGGGCCCATGTCTTCTTCCTTGCATTGCTCCTGTATTTCCTAGCACAGTACCTTGCATTTGGATTCTAATTCCAGCTGTGTGACTAGTCAAGTAATTTAACATCTTAGCCTCATTTTCTTCATGTTAAGTGAGGATAATAATACTTGCAGTATTAATGACAGTCTTTGGTGAGGAAAATGCTTTGTCAACTCTAAGAGCTCCATGTGGATTATTATTATAGCAGGAAACACTTGGTACTTTGCAGATCTAGCCTTGGACAAAGTTGTAAAGGACACCTTCCACATTCTTCTGCCTTCTCCCATTTGGCAGCTCCCTTCTCTCCAGATATCTAGAGTAATCTCATTCTGCTTCAGAGTTGTCTTAAGATCTCCACTTACAAGTAACGCTCCAGCTTACTCTTCCCAGATGGTTGATACAGATCTTTCTCCTCAACTCAGGACCTTGAAAGGTTCAAGTTCAAGCTCCTTCCCCCATTTTACAGATGAGGAAATGGAGAAGTTAAGAGACTTGCTCAAGGTCACACAGGTTTAAGGGACAGGACCTCTGACTTCAAATCCAGAACTTCCTCTCTGTCAAGTGAGAAGACCTGGGTTCCATTCAATAACTTACTTGTAGCCTCTGGCAAATTATAACTTCTCTGATCCTCCTGCATACTCTGGGTCCAGTGTTTTTGGAAAATATGGCAACTCAAAAGGATAAGTTCAGGGGACCCCTTAACAGTTCTCATCATTAAAATGAGGGTATTGTTTGTACTGCTTCACAAAGGAGATGGTATATGTGAAAGCAAAGTACTAGATAAGTATAAGGCATTATCAAAACCTGCTGTCAGTTTTGATTTGCAAAAGATCTGATAAATACAAGATGTAGGCAATAAGGCAATAAGGCAGGGGTGTGGAACTTGCAGCCTCAAGGCCACAGGTGGCCCTCTAGATCCTCAAGTGTGTGGTTCTTTGAATGAATCCAAATTTTACAGAAAAATCCGCTTAATAAAAGGATTTGCTCTGTAAAATTGGTCTCAGTCAAAAGACTGCACCCAAGGACTTAGAAGGCCACATGTGGAGGCGGCAGGTTCCCTATCCCTGCAGTAAGGTGTAGTGGAAAGAACTCTGAACTTGGAGTCAGAAAAGTTACTGGTTACTGGTAAGGTCACTGAGCCTCCTTTTTCTAATCTGGAAAACCAATGGATATTGCCGATACTGTCATAGGAGCCAAGTACAGTGAGAGAATTTTTGATAAAACAAACAAAACCCTCTCTTTCCTGCTGTGAGCCTGTCTGTTTTTGTACCAGTCATAGATAGTTTCCCAACCTTGTTTTTTCTTGCCTTCCCAATGGATGTTGAAGGGGGAAAAAGAGAGGGAGAAAGAGAATTTGGAACTTGAAATAAAAGAATGTTGAATTTTTAAAATATGGCTTCCTAGTGCCTGCTTAATTTCCTGTTGATAGATTAATGTTGTCTTGTCCATCTTTCAGGCATAACTGAATTCATAAGAAGTAGATGATAATAGAGTTAAGAGAACTAGATTAGGAATTTGGAGACCTGGGTTCTAGATTGAATTTTGCTTCTAATTTACCTATGTGACTTTGAGCAAATCACTTACTCTCTTTTTGTCCTCTGCAAATGAGAAGGTAGAACTACATGATTCCTAAAGTCTCTTACAATTCCAAAACCTATGATCCTAAAACGTGGAAGGGATGATTACGTATGTTAGTTTATAAAAGATCTCTAAATGCAAAGACTCCCCAATATGCGTGGGAGCTTATTTCTTGAGTAGTAACCTTATCTACTTCAAGCTATCAATTTCTTTGACCTCAGAGTAGAGAGGAGATTTCACTGGGTACCCTGATCAAAATGGATTTTCTAACGGAGAGGAAAGATTGACAAGATTGGACAATACCAAAACTCTCAGAAAAAACCGGGGAGAAACCAATTTTTTAGCCAGTCCAACCACACAGCCTTGAGAACATTCTCTTCGGTAGATCCAGGCAGATTCGCATGCCGGCAGTGGTTACGGTTACAGCAGTAGGAATCAGGCTGATGCTTCCTCCCCTCGAATTGGGAGCTGGGAAGTCAGGATTAGCCATCTCCAGGCCCTTATCAAGGCCAGGCCGATGGATGCAGCAGCCGCCCATCCTGCCCCTGGTGCGGTTTCCCTTCCCGGCTGGAGCCTCCGGGACCCAGCCAGAGCGTAGGAGGAAGAGGGGCTGGAGCTGCCCCAAAAGGAGGAGACTTGGGAGGGGGAGGAGGAGGAGGAGGTGGAGAAAGTGCTGCTACTCCCTGCCCCTCCCCATCCCCCCCGCGTGGGAATAGCCGACGGGGTGGGGGGAAAGAGGAAAGGGGAGGAGGGAGGAGCGGCAGGAGGAGGAGGAGGCAAGGGCCAGGCTCTAGCCCTCCTTCCCCTCCTCCTCCCCGATATGGCCAGTGACGAGGAATGAAGATGGCCGGGAGAGCCAGTGGGATGGAGGAGCCGTCGGTAGCAGCCGAGGCGGTGGCGGCCCCGAGACTGTGATCCAGTGCGGTGGAGAAGAGCGGGTCCGGACTGCCTCGAGGGCGGGGACCCGCTGGCTTGCAAACGGAGGGTCAGCGGCCGGAGTGGGAGACAGCGGAGGGTCCCTGGGGAAGGCTAGGCGGCGGCTGGAGAAGGGGCCCGGTCCGGGAGCGCAGCGAGAGTGCCGGGTGGTTCCTTCCAGGCGCGGCGGGCGCGGCGGCGGGACTGGTTCGCGGGCTCCAGGTTCACAGCTGCCCGGGCACGGGCGGAGGAGAGCCGGGGGCAGCGGGAGCGGGCGGAGGATGAGCCCCGTGCGGCGGGGGAGCCGCTGCTGTCGCCCGCCCTTCCTGCTCTACCCGTTCGCTCCCCGCTCCTCCTGCACTGGTTGGGACAGTTGTTAGTGCTGGAGGAAGAGGCGGAGGAAGCGGCGGCGGGGGGCGGCCGGGGCCCGGGCTGGGCAGCAGCAGCTGGCCCGGCCCGGGGCGGGGAGGCGGCGGCGGCGGCGGCTCCAGAGCCCAGGGGCCCAGGGACTGTGTGGCGGGGAGGCGGCGGCCGGGGCCGCGTAACCATGCCTTGGCTGAGCGGGGGCCGGCGGCGGAGGCAGCAGCAGCAGCAGCAGCCGCAGCAACAGCAACCTCAGCAGCAGCAGCAACAGCAGCCTCCGCCGCCGCCGCCGCCGCCGCCGCCGCAGCAGCCGCCGCAGCAGCCTCCGCAGCAGCAAGGGGGGCCCGGGCAGCCGCCGCCACCGCCGCAGCAAGCGCAGCAGCAGAGAGGCCGGGAGAGCTCTGAGCTGCCCCTGCCCGCAGGCTGGGAAGAGGCGCGGGACTTCGACGGCCGCATCTTCTACATCGACCACAACACCCGGCAAACCTCTTGGATCGACCCCCGGGACAGGTAAGGCAGGGGTGCAAATTTTGTGTGTGTGTGTATGTGTGTGTGTGTGTGTGTGTGTGTAAGCTAAGATGCTTCCCTCCGGTGCACCCAGGGATCTCAGTGGACGGTACCAGTAGCAGAGGCAAGCGCAACACGGATCATACTCATCTTTTCTCCCACCCCTTTTTTCCACCCTTCCCCCTCCCCAACTCGAGGGGGGCAGGAAATAAGGAACCAAAGCCCACCCCTGTTGGCTCCTTGAAGTTTTTGGACCGGGGTTGGGGCTGGGGGAGATCTCGCCCCGCTGTGCAGGGTTTGGAAGGCCTTTGGCGATGGGGAGCGAGATGAGGGGGTCGTTGCAGGCTTCGCGGAGCTTCCCAGTTGCCTTGGCCAGGGCAGGAGGAGCCTCGGTCCTTCCCCCCAGTCCCAGATGGAGGAGCGGATATTCTGACTCGGTTCCTTCACGTCAGACTGCCTTTCAGTAGATTCAGAACTTGGACGCTTGGAATTTCCTCTTCTCGTGTGGGTGATGGATGCCCTTTTTTTTCCCCTCTTTTTTCCGATGGTGGTTTCGCCCAGTCCCCCTGCGTGCTCCGAATGGGATGCTGGCCCGAAAAAATAGTCCTCCCGAATCAGACGTGTAGTCCACCTAACACAATATTGATAATCTACAATAACCACATCCGAGGCTGCGGGAGACAGGAAAGAGGCTCCTCCGTGTGCTGGCGGACGCTCTTCTGTTTGCCTAGGCTTAGGATGAGCTCCACACGTCCTTCGAAGCCCTTAAATTGTAGAATTTTTAATTGGTGAGATGAGCTGTCAGGCAGGAAAACACAAGTCTCTCCCCGACATTCTGGTTTTGGTTACTTTTTTTTTTTTTTTTTAGTATGAACTTTGTCTTAATCTAACCATCCTACTATCCGGTGAGGTACAGCTGAGATTCTCAAACTTTTTGAAATTTGATGTCTTGCTATGATTCTGTCAGTCTCCCATCCCCTTCTAAATGTGCTTCACGTCGTAGAGTTACTTTTTAAAATTAAAATGAGTACAATTCTACTTTGGGAACTTGCTGAACATGTCCCTGTGTCTCTTAACATAATAGGGGACCCTGATGTGTTGGGAAATCATGACTTTAAGTGAGAGCAACTATATTTTGGGGGGAAACTACAGAGAAGAGAAGAATTTTAGAAACCATTGAGGGGTGTTTTTTTTTTAAGAAAATTCATAGTAAATCCCTAACAGCTAAAGAGATTTCCAAATTCATGGCCAAATTTTATTTAATTTCATGAAGTTTCACCTTAGTGAAGTTTTGTGCTCTTAGTAAAACCAAGCTAGTTAAAATGTAAAACCAGCCAAGTTAGTATTGCTAGGCTGTTTACTAGTAGTGCTTCTAGAGAGAAATATATGTTCTTAAGTGTATGTGTCTGTACTGAAATCAAATGAGTTTCCTTTTGTTATCGGATACCTTGTCCCACCTAAAACAGCTTCTGAAACTTCAGGCTTCTTCTAAAGAACCCAAAAGGAAGTGTTACAGGCCTTCAGTGCTTTAAATTTTTTTTTTTGAAAGGACTTGTATGGTCACTTTATGCCAGCTTCCTCCTACCTATACTAGAAAGGAAATACTCCTTGGCATTTTGTTACTTTGAAATAAACTTGTTGAGGGGGAAGCCTGTTTGTTTGCTTCCTGATAACTTGATTCAGAACTCTTCCCGGCTTCCTTTTCCCACTCTCTCAAAGGTTTCTTAGTATTTTGTTTGGATTCCTTACAGCTCTGGGTTCAGAAACAAGGATAAAATGAGATCCAATTTTATAAGTGAAAGAAATGCTTAGTGTAAAGGTATTTTGGAAATCAGGTGAGATCATATTGTAATTTTAACCAAAAGCCCAAGCCACAGCTGTTTGAGAGCTATCAAGGCTTAGACAGTGCTGGAATTGGTAGCACTGCTTGGAATGTTGAGCATTCTTAATTTTGTACTTTACTTATTTCTTTCAAGTACACAATGAACTTGAAAGTGAAAAAGTTTAAATGTTACTTTCTTTTGAGGAAAGGAGATTATTTCAGGAGAATAATGTGAAAAAAAATCCTGTTTTTGTTGTAGTGGTTGGTTATATTTTAGTGTAAAATTTACAATAAACATAAATGTTGTGTTTACAATTGTTTGAATAGCATAAATGAGACTTGGTAAAGGGAGTACCCAAAGGCAAACAACATGGAAATATGAGTTCTCTGCTGTAGTTGTCATAATACATTATCCTTCTTTCCTTGATTTTTTGAAATTCTTCTGCAGAATTTGTGCTATAAAATGACTTTTCCATCCTTTTAAATCCATTTTTCTTTCTTTTTTTTTTTGGTGCTGAAGACCTTGCTTGTGTTAATCTAACATTTTTCTAAGGGTTGACTGAACCCTTAAACTGGGAATGTGTTAGTTAACTAAAGTCAGTGAACTAAAGTCAATATTTTAGGTTTTAGTAAAGTAAAACCATGTCTATGCTTTTTATATGAGATAATGTTTTTATAGTAAGTGAAAATGCAACAAGGGACAGTTTGAACTTCAGCTCCCATAATACCTTGCCAGAAATATGTATGGAATGTTAAGCAGGCCACAAACGTTTAAGTGGAGTCTCTGTTAAAGATTGTAATAGTAATGGTTGCAATTCCTCTTTTTCACAACACAACATTGCTCATTTTTTATTAGTGCCTGGTTATCCTTTAAGTTGTAATTAATTTTTATTATATGTTGTGAACTGTGCTTTCAAGCTGAGAATTTTCATATATGACTCTGACTGTTAAATGTTATTTGGGACACACTGGCAAGTGATATACTACCCCCAGTCCCCTAAAGTTAGAGAATTTTGTTGTGGTGTTGTTGCCTCACCGAAATGGGTTTTAAATAGGGAGCTGATAGGAGAGAAGGAACATAAATCACATCTTTCTTAACAGAGTTAAGTTATAAAAGGAAGGATTAACAGAAAGGATTAAGCAAAACCAGTTGATTACTGCTGTACTGTTCAAAACCATTTCATATGTAACTAAATATTTCAGTAGCATTAAAATCATCTTCAAAATTTAAAAATGTAAAAAAAAAAACTTTTATATTGACAAAAGAGGATACGTTTCAACTAATTTTTCCCCTAGAATAGTTCCCATGTTTTTAGGTTCTAGTGGGTCCACCATTAATGAATTATAGGAACTGAAGTTCCTATAATTCTTGGTGTCAAAAAAAGAATTCATTCCTATGTTAGAATGTTTATGCATGTGGCTAAAATATCATTCTTTAAGAAACAATACTTTACAGTTGTGCAAACAAAAGCAAAACAAAACAAAAAAAGCATTGGTACTCAAGCTTTCTACGATGTGATTTTTTTTTTTTTAGCATTTATTTTTGTAATAAGTTAACTAGAACTTTTACCTGAAAACTTTGGAATTCAAAACTAATTTTGCATGATTGAAAAAGGTTAATGTATAATTTGCAAGACTAGCAGTTTCCTTAAGTCACAGTTATAAAGATATAAGGATTACTTTAGTGCAGCTGGTGTTGCACTAGTACTTAGAATTTATGTGAAGCCATAGAATCAACTTTATGTTTGTAAATTGTTTCTGATGCTCTGTTAGAAATAACTCAGTTTCCAATGTGTTGGAATTTTCTGATGCTTTATGAGAAAGGGCTTATCTCTGTTTGTAAAGGGAGTTTTTACTTCCATGAGTTCCCAAATTAATGAAATCACAAATCCACATCACAAGACTCATCTTGATGAATTCAGATCCAGTCTCAGACCCTTACTAGCTATGGGCTGATAGACTTTGGGCAAGTCACTTAACCCTGTTTGCCTTAGTTTTCTCTTCTGTAAAATGAGCTGGGGAAGGAAATAGGAAACCGCTGCAATATCTTAGCCAAGAAAACCCCAAAATAGGGTCACAAGGAGTTGTACAGGACTGAAATGACAGAACAACAAGATTGTTTATGGTTATTGAGGTTAAGATGTTGCAGTATAAAGCAATTTAAGATTATGATTTGGGGAACATAGTTTTGACTTAATTTTTGGTGGCCTTTGTGACATACTGGACAGGGTCAATCCTTGGGGCTAGGAAAATGTATTCAAGTACCCCATATGTAAGGACTGTGTGGTGCTGTGCACGTCATTACCTCTTGCTGCCCTAAGCAACACTCAAAGATGATAAGTTGCTAAGAAGGTGCTGATATGAATTGGTAGAGGGAGTTTCCTCCGAAGTGATTTCCTTATACCAATAAAATCACAGTCCAGTTCCTGATCCCTACCTCTGTATGACCTAGTATTTTAAATCACATTAGTATTTGGTAGGTAAAAAATTTGGAAGTAAACAGTGGACTATTTTGAGAGCATTATTGCTTCTTTTAATTGTTTAAGAAGCCCATATTTCATGAGATTGTCTTGGTGGTGTAACTTACTTGAGGCTTGATGTCACTAACTGTAGCTCAAGTTTAAGAAAGGCAGTACTGGACAACTAAAGAGTTCATCATAGAAAATGTAGGTGTATCTTGGAGATTAAAGAGGAAACCTGTGGATAACACTGGTATAAGGAGATAAACAACACACATGTTAAAAATTTTCTTTTGTCAAACTGGATTGAGGAATCAGGAAAATCTGAGTTCAAGTGTTACTTCTGATACATATTAGCTGTGTGTGATCCTGGGCAAGTTACTTGGCCATCTCAATGTCCCAGGCAAATTTATTCAGAACAGGGGCTGTCTGCATTAGGATAGAGAATTTCCTCATTCAATATTCTGTATACAAATAAAATAATAGGTCTGAAATTAAAAAAAAAAGCTACATTAGACATCACTTCATACATTAATCAAATTTGTAGTATGCTGAAGCACTTTGAACAACTTTATGATACTTTGCTTTAAAGGAAAAACTACATATATGTGTACACGTATACATATACTTTGTACACAAATATCTAAGTATGCTAATTTTATATTAAGGGTTAACTAAAATAACCAAGTAGAGGACATAAGTACTACCTTCTTGGAATTTTA